CAGTTCAAACAGGAGATGCGGGGACTCCGGCTGGGGCAGGGCAGTGTTTCTGATGCTTTTACCTGTCCTCCGGCGTGGCTGCTGTCAAGCCGAATTTCTGCCAAGTCTCCTATCTCCCCTCCTTTTCCCTTAATGGCCCCTGATTTCCTGGGAGCCTCTGACCACAGCCCACTCCTCTCTTTAAGGGCCTGTGCCATGTGTTTAAATAAGGCCAGTTGGGGTTTGACCTCTCCGAGGTTTTCTTGCCTCGGTGCTGTTCAGTGCCGTGGCAGCCTGTCCTGGCAGGATGGTCCCACCATGGTGGTATTGCCTCTGGAGAGGAGATGGGGGTGGGCACAAAATGTTGGTGTCTGTCCTGATCTCACCGGCCTTCTGCAGGGTTTGCTTATGGGCAGAGAAACCTTCCCTGAGCTCATCCACCCCCTACTCACTGTACCGGGCAGCTCATGTTCACAAGTGGCTGCAGCCCACAGCATGACTCCATGTCCCTGGGTGACCCATCCCTGCTGGTAGATGAGCCCTTTCAATGCTATGGTGCACTGAGCTCCCCACTCCCAGTTCAGACCAGCTGCCTGTCTCTTGGGTACGTGGGCAAGTGCCTGGAAACCCCAGAGGTCTTGTCTGGAGCAGGCCCAAGGTGTGGGGGTTGGCGTGCAGAGGGATGGGGGGGCAGCAGGCTCCAGCACATGCACCGGACAGCTAACCGATTCCCTTGACACTGCTTGTGCTCCCCTGATCTTTGAGGCCAGGGCTATGGAGCTAGTCTCTCAGCCTAGAAAGTAGGAAAAGGTCTGCACACATCTGTGGGCTCACATGATATCAAAGCATCCCCAGTATGAGAGTGCAATTCCCAGCATACCGTGGGCCTTGGGATGTGGCAGGCGGTGACCACAATGCTGCTACTGTCACAGAGCGCTCTGTGATGCAGGAGCTAGGAAATGTCCGTGGGATCTTCAGTGCTTCCTTTGCCCGGGGGGATACTAGATCCCCTGGTTCTGGCTCTGCTACTGTCCCTCTGCACATGGGGCCACCTTTGGTCCCCTGCTGTTCTGGGGACTGGCCCTGACCAGGAATAACTCAAATTTTCTTTTTCCTTTTCTTTTTGAAATTCCGTTTCTCGGGCCACATCAGCCAAATCAGGTATGAATCCTATCAACTGGGCAGATCTCAATTGTTCAAGTCCACGTGGTGCTACCACTAACAAGTGTCCTCTCTCCCAGACTTTTCAGCCTGGGGCTTTGAATACTCCCAAGTCCATGGCAGGCATCCTATGTGCAAGCCCCAAGCCCAGGGGTCTTAGAGTTCAGATACCCCGTAGTCTCACTTGCCCCCTGTCCAAAAGGCTGACGGAGCAAGCTAAAGGGAAAACCCGAGAGCAATCCTCCATCACCATAAATTGCGTAGCTGAGATCTTCACATTAGAGGCATTGTAGACTCTCACATGGGGGCAGCCTGCCCACAGTGCAAGGGACAGGTCTTCACCCTCTAACTACACTGAGTCATTCAAGGCTGAGAAGAAGGAGATCTCCTCTGCCAGGTCAGTAAAACACCTGGACCGAAACCATCATCATGGTATCTCCCCTGCCAGGGATAACTCAAACCTGTAGATTCTGCCCTGGCCTTTGAAATATTGCTATGTGACTTGCTCTCAGCTCCCTTGTCCTCTGAATGCCCTCCTAGGCCAGGTAGATCTGCACACAGGTCACCAGGGTCTTGCCTGTCTATTCTAGGTCTGCGCTGGGCCCCTTGCTAGCTGCCAGCCCCTCTTCCTGTGCCGGGTGGTCTCCCTCACTAACTCGTGCTTTGTCTTTGGCAGCATTCCAGTATGACACAGGCCCCGACTGCCATGCCACGGACGTGGAGGGACCAAACAGCAGTACAGGGATGGCTGTCAGTTCCCCAGCCAACAAGGAGAATGGGATCTCTGGCTGCAAGTGACAGCAGGGTCTGGCTGATACTATCGCACATAGAGAGGGACAGTGGCATTTTAGGGCTGAAGGCCCAAGGAGCCCAGAGCACACGTGCCACAGCACTGACCCCTGGGACCAACCTCCTCCCATGCTGTACTGCTCCATTTTCCAAGGGCCTGGGTTAGTGGCTGATGGACAGACTGGACCCCTTCGCCATGCCCCTGGGATCCAGTGAAATACATAGCTGCCTTTTTGCTGGGCTAATAACAATGGCACTACAGCTTGGCACAGGCCTACAGGTTGACTGACCACTTGAGGGCTTGCTGGAGACACAGGAAAGGGGTCCGCTGGGGGATCAGAGCCAAACATGACCACAAAATCCCAATCAGGATTGTTCCATCTGGCAGAAAGCTAGCATGGACTCACTGTGGCTGGGGCTGGGTTGGGAACCTGTCCCCCAGCCCAGCCCTGCTGTCGTTGCGCTTGGCTCACAGTCCCTGGTGTCAGACTTTCACTCGTGTCGGGACGTGTCATTTTCACTGCTAACAGTTCAGGACAGTGGCCAGACAGGTGCAGGTGCCTTTCCTCTGCAAAAGACAGCGTCCCGCTCCCTGCACTCTGTACCGCAGCCCATTTCTCACTGTGCAGCCCTTCCTGCTGCACAGTGCTTTGCTTTGTCATTTTGTGCAGGCCTGTGCTGAACAAAACAGGAGTAAAGTTTCTGCAGAGAGGACAGTCAAACTTGGTGCGGTGAGATGCTGTGACATCCTCCCATGCACCCAGCTCTGCTTGTGCCCCTCAGACTCAACCTACAGCCCCTTTATGTCTTGCACCCAGGTTCCCCAAATGTCCTGCTCTGCTGATGCCCTCCAGCTATGTCAGGAAGGTCCATCCAAGCCTATTGTGTTAGTGTGGCTAAAGCCCACCAGCTTTTCAGCCAATGGCACACAGGGGAGTGATGTGACTGGCAGTACGTCCAGCTGTCTTTGCCTCCCCAACCCGAGTGACCAGGTGCCCACGAACAGCTGGAGGAGGCTTTTGGCATGAGACGCTTGGAGAATGTCCACCTGAAAGAAACTTCTGGGACATGGGACCAAAAGGCCTTCTAAGGAGAGCTTTTGGAGTGACATTTGTCTCTAAGAAGGAAAGGACCTGACTGAGGGCTCAGGAACCACTTGGTAACTCTCCCTGCAAAAGTTTCAGGAAGCAGGGTAACTGGTCAGTGCATTCCTATTCTTTGGACACCTCTGCCTCTTGCGGAGCCACCTGGAAGCATCCACAGATTCTGCAGGAACTAGGACCATAGTCAGCATCTTAACCGTACGCCTCCCATGCACACAGGAGCAGTGCAGAACTTGGCATGGACAGATGCATTCATAAGGCCCAGGCCACGGAAGAAGTTTATGGGACAGCAGGGATTGAAGCCTGCACCTGACCCTGGCTGCAAGTCCATCAGGTGATGCTGATGTTCTGCACTCTCTTGTCTGACAGCCGGGAAGATGTGGCAGCCTTCACACTCTGAAAGGCAGCCTCCCCTCCTCCAGCTTCCCTGCTCTTTGTCTGTAAGCCTTGGGTGGGGGGGAAAGGCATCAGAGACTGTTGCTTTTCTTTTTTTAACACAATAAAGTAATCAATGAGAGTGGAAATCAAGCACGTGAAATGCTGAGGTCTGTTTTGGGCAGGATGCTATAGGGAGCCTCTCAGAAAAGCTTTCTGGAAAAGGGTGCCACAACTGAACCTCTTTCCAGTTCTGGGATAGTCCTGACCCAGGGCTAATGTTCGCATGCAGCTTCTTAGCTCTGAACAACCCCCTAGATCTAAATGTTGCCTGACCTTTTGAGGGAGGTGAGACCTGACTGGGGCTCAGTTCCAGATCCCAGACGCTATCATGGACCGAAGGAAAGCATTGGACTGGTCCTACCAGCTTGGGACCCAGACTTCGGGTGTGACCATGTCTGAGCATGAGATTGCTGGCTTGCTTCAAACACCTGTGAAACTTAGTTTTACTTGGTTTCCCTGAACTCCCTGGTCAGCATCACTTGAGCATCCTTGGGTTCATCTAAACCAGAATCTCAGGGCCATGAACTCCATGCAAACCCTGAACAAAGCCAAAGTTCATGCTGAGCCCTGAGAAGTGCAACAGGCCCTCTCAAGGGTGGTGTAATGCAAAGGCCATGCTTCTTGCCTGTTCTTATTATGTCCCCAGCAGCCTGTCTGCATGCTGCGCGCAGCCTGGTGGGAGAATGGGTATGATGATCTCCAAGCTAGAAGGAAAAAGAGGTGCCCTTTCAACCCCTGGCTTAGGAAATCAGATTATTTCCCAGAGAGGGTGTCTGCTTGTGATTCACACAGGATTTCTCTGTCCTGCCTCCATGCCCATAAGGACATGTTGGGGCAGAAGCACAAAATGTGGATCCTGTTCTGGGGCTAAATGATGTGAGGCTCAGGGGTCTTTCGATCTGGGGTTCTGGGGTGCGTTTTTTCCTTTGCATTGTGATGTGCTAAAATCTCAGACTTTGCAGGACTGCTTTCCAAACTCCATTGTACTGTTGAACCTGGCAGGCAGAGAGGGTTCACCATGTGCAGGAGCAGAACTTCCCTAAGTGCTAAGGAGTGCCTGGAGCTGGGGAAGCTGCTGACTAAGGGCCATGCAATCTGGATGTCTGTGGTAGTATCCCACGCACACCAGGAGCAAGGCAATGGATGCTAACTTCAGGTCAGCCCCTGGGGGTGCATGTGCACGTGTGCAAACTTCCTAACTCTTCTAGTCACCAGCTAAGATCTTGATGCAGCCAAGGGCCACAAGACACAAACCTTCCAGATGTGCCTGCGCAGTTAATCAACTCACAGTGCCTCCGCTCAGAGAATAAGCTATTGTCTCTTCAGATGTCTTTAAATGAGTCAGAAGCCAGGTGTGGCTCATGTAACAGGAGGCTTGTAGCCCCTGCTACTTTAAGAGGCAGTGAAAGCAGCATTATGTAGCTGTAAGATCGTTGGCAGCTGAGTTGGTGCCACCTGCAAACAGTCAGGCAGCAGAAGGGAGCTAATGAGAAACCCCTGGGCACAGGACTGCATGGGGGTGGAGTCTAGAGCACCACAAGCCTGGCTCCTGAGCTGGAGAGGGTATTCAGGCTCAGAAAGGTGCTCTTGGAAAGCTTTTGTGAAGCTGGTCTTGTAAGCATTGGAGACTATGGGACTGAACGGTATCTTGTGAGTAACCCAGAAGGCATGGGAGCTGCTGGCCTTGTGCCAGCCAGCAGGCAAGAAACCCTGAGCTATTGGGGAAGAGCCTCAGGGAAAGACCAACCCCACCCTATGGGGAAGAGCCTTAGGGAAGGGCAAATCCTAGGATCCAAGTGAAGCACTTATTGGCAGCTGTGTGGTATAGGGTGGCTATGAAGGGGTGAGAGGGGGCCACTAGGGTGCTCTGAGTTGGAAAGCATTGCATTTATCTAGAACAGGGTAGCTGATGACAAGTGTGTGAGCCCAGGGTAACCCTAAAAGAAGAGGGGCTGAGGAAGGGCTGACAAGAAGAGGCCTATATGGAGGGGGAAGATGCCCTGGAGAAACCGTGTTAAAGGGGGAGGCATGCCCTGGATGACTGTGCTGAGGGTAAATAATCCCAGGGGACTGGGTTGAGAGTTGAACAGTCCCAGAGGACTGGGCTTAGGGCAGCTATGTCTAGAGGACTGTGCTAAAGAGGAAAAGCATCTAGGAGGCTACTCCAGCTTTTAAAGGTAGCCTCCCAATTGTTATCCATAATATTCAACACTGAAGGTGGCAGGCAGGGGAAAAAAGAGGTGCAACAGAGGCCAGAGAGCAGTGCAGGTGGACATGACTGCCACAAAACTCCCTCTCCTTTTTAAAATCCTGCATCTATTCATGCTAATAGAGCTGCTGTAACAGATGCCACATCCCCGCTCACAAGAGTCTATCATGTGTCTTAGTATTGGGTGTTGTTTGCAAAAGCTCCAGGTCCTAGAGTCATGGGATTGAGTGAGAGAGGCCTGATTTGAAAAGAGTCATTATCCAGTCACTGGGCTGCAGAGCAGTGTTCAAGATTATGAACCTAGTGGGACCCTGAAGACTCTGAAACTGGAAGGCAAAATAGCATTGCTCTATGGTGGGTTATTCTGTAGAACAGCTCATGATTTTTAAGCTAATCCCTGATGGTTTGGGGGCCCAACTCCTAAATTGCAATACTGAGATGTCCCACCCCATATAAGTGTGAATTCTTACTCTCCCTAAGCCTGTGCAATGATGCAAACAGATAGATATCCAAGGGTTTATTTGCACGTCTGTCTGTGATATGGGGCAATACCTCAAACCAGCTCAGGGCCATAGTAACAAGAGCAGCATGACCTCCCACTTAAATGCACTTTCTTGGGCACCATGTAGAGCCCGTGCCCTGGATCCCCAGTCCAGCGTGTGCCCCAGTGAGCCAGTCCAGGGGGCCACGTGCATGGCAAGCTCTGAGATTGGTGCGTGCTGCATGCAGTGTTGGGCTGGACTGGCTATGCAGATGGCATAGGACAGGGGGTGTGGGGCATGGGCTGCATGTGGTATCCTAGACTGATACTCCCCACCTCTTCCCCCTTCCTCCCCCCCCGCGCGGCCCACCATGGTGCCTGCAGTGCATGTGATGCAGCTGCAGGACTAGTGCTGGTGCATGTAGTCACTCCAGGGACCCATGGAATAGATCATGTAGCTCCACAGGCCACATCTGGCCCATGGCTGGCACATTTGACACCCTGGTCTATGAAACACCCAACTGGGAAGGGATTCCTCAAACAGAGGGGCCCCAACCTAGTGCAAATATGATGCAGTCCCCTGCTTCCCAATAGCTGCCTCCTGGGCAGGAAGTCACTCTGGGAAACTGAAGGGCCATCAGACTATGACCAGATGTGGCATCACAAGTCGTGGGTCTGCACTTCTTGTGGGCAGTTTGCTACCATGTTTCCCACCAGTGGGAAAGGCTCAAGTAGCACCCCCAGCCTTGGAGGCTGGTAACCCCTCATCTTCCCAGCTGCTTCTTCATAGAGCAAGAGAAAGATGCTCCAGGGACTGAAAAAGGGTCCAAGGCAGAGACAGGCAGCAGGGACAAGGGGGGAAAAAAGAGTAATAACAGGGAAAAAGTAAGAAAGAAAAGCAAATGAACTCTGTACCAGAATCCCAACCTAGAGATGAAACACATGGTAGACTCTCTGTGCAGCCCCCTGCTCTTCCAGCCGTGGTCTCACACCCCCACCCCAGGTCTGCTGATTCCCCTCGGTTGTGATCTGCAGTCCCTATGGTTTCCTAGCCCTCAGTGTCCTCCCCGCAGCTTGCTGAGGCCTGTCATACTCAATACACACCCTTAGTATTTCTGAGCAGACGCAATTCTGCCAGGGACCGAGAACAAAGCTGGTTAACAGTGAGGTGAATGCAGGAGAGGAGCAGTTAATCTCCCAGCACATTCTGGGCACAGTTGGAGTGGGTGGGAAGCTATGATCGTTTTACTTTTGGCCTCTGCAGGCTGAATTTTTCATGAAATTGCCAGAGGGAAGGTCAGTGAGAGCCTGCATGAGCACAAAGCTGGTAAACAGCAGAGCTGGTCACAGTCAGATCATGGCCACATCCCTGGGCAGGGCCTGGAGCTCTGCCTCTGCCAGACTTGCCCTTACATGCGACTCCTCTTATCACTGGCCGCATGAATGGCATGACAAATCCCCACTGCACTGTGAATCACCTGCCTTCTTTGCACATACACATAGGGGCACTGTACATATGCATGCACACACACGCAGGGATGCCACACACACACTCACACGGATATAAATACACACACGTAGGAACACATCCTGCATGTGCGTCGCTGGAGGTGTTCAGGAAAAGATTGGACAATCGCTTGGTGGTTGTGGATGATGTCAACATAGCTGTCTATGCCTGTGATCTACCATGGGTATTTCCCATGCTTCTGGGCTTTGCTGGTTGCCCCTGCCCACCTTTCTGCTAACATGTTTGGGTGTTTCTAAGCCTCCCTTAAAGGCAATGGGTGTTGGCTACAGCTAAGGCTGGGGATTTGGACTGGGGTGTGCCAATGCTCCTGCTGGGATCAAAGCTGGAGGTTCCTGGCCAGAGGGTCTTGCCCTTCCACTCAAGGTCAGAGCACCATGTTTGGGGTCAGGAAGAAATTTTACCCTATGGTCAGATCAGTATGGACCGAGGGGGTTTTGCCTTTCTCTGTAGTGGGGGGCATGACCCCCTAGCCAGAATCTCTTGAGCATATATTGACAACATTTCACAAAAGTTGGCTGCCGTGGTTCCCCTGCTTTATCTGTAACGGGCTAGGGTGTTAGGTCTGTATGGTGTCAGGGTTGACAGTAGAGTTCAGATTATGCATTGAATAGGATGGTTTGGATAGGGGTGATCCTGCCTCATGCAGGGGGTTGGACTAGATGATCTCTGGAGGTCCCTTCCAGCCCGACTTCTCTATGAATCTGTGCACACACAGGGACACCATACGTACAGAGACATGTGCACACATGCTCACACATGCAGACTTCCCTCAGATCCTTTCCTTTTGCCCTCCTCACCATCCGTGACCCTTTATTTGGAGCCTTCTGACATGTTTGGTTGCCGCAGAGCGGTAAGAACAGCTGTGCATTGGCAGAGAGGAGTTGGCAGGTCAGGTCAGAACTACACACAAGCTCCAGTGCTGTGTTAAGAGCTAGCAATGACCCCCAGGAGGCCATGTGCCAAATGGCATTTTGGAAAGGCCATGTTATCCCTTGGCACTAATGCACAGAGAGGAAATCTGGTGGGGCATGGATGGGGAGCAGCTGGTTCATGACAGCTCTGCAGGTGCCCCCATTTTGTGGCAGCCCGGGAGGGATACTGCAGGGCTGGGAGCGTCGGGAGCATTCTGGCACTTCGGCCAACTTGTGATTTTATTGCAAGCCGGATTGCTGATGGTCTTCAAGCCCCAACGCCTGCCATCAGGGGACTTGGCAAGAGTCACAGCCTCGCATGGAAAAACGAGTTTCAGCCCCTGATGAAGAAAAGCTGATAAACAGGATCGGAGTGGGACCCTGCAGGCTTGGATATCAGAACACACAGGAATGCTCATTATTTCTTTAAAAAAAACAAAGCAAAAAACTCTGCATGATTTTCAACCCAACCCGTAAGTGTGCACAGTGAGGGTACTCGCAGGCAGCTGGAAACAAAAAGAACTCACTGGGTCTGTCTTAATCCCACTGAGGTACTGGTTCCAGTTGCAGGCTTGATGGATTCACCAGGCTTGGCGGGGGGGAAAGCTTTAGAGGAGGCAAAGAGCTCTAGAGGGAGTTAATCCAGGGTTCACAGTAGGGGCATGGACTGGTGCAGTTTGTGTCAGGTGGGTGAGGATTATGATGCAGAGATTCAAAGGGTCTTTGGGATGTGTCTGAGCCACCAGGAACAGAGAGATTCAGAAGGAAAACCACCACTCATAGCACTGGAGGAGCTGCCTTGATAGAAAACCAGGGGGATGGACACGGTGTTACGTGCAGACTTGGGCATGAGTGTGAGAGGGGTCACAGCTGCAGGGCTTCCTGTGCAACCCGAAAGACCTAGAAACTCTGGGCCTGTTTCCTCTCTCACTGATGCTGCTGGAAATCAGAAGGAATGGCCCTAGGGTCAGTTCTCCTCTCACTCCTGGTGCAGCTCAGGACAGTCCCATTGAATCTACTGGTGGAAGATGGATGCGCATGACAGCATGGTCAGGCCCTTCACTGCGTCCATGCTTGACTCCTGCAGATGCAGTCCTGGCCAGCAGTAGCTGCCCCCATCCTACCTCCCCTGGAGAGGCAGCAGCTGGCAGGAGGCTTCTCCACTGAGCCATCCCAGAGCCCCAGATTCCCCCCTACGCTGCAGAAACAGCCCCAGTGGGTCCCCATTCTGGAGGGAGGACAGACTGGGACCTGAGAGGAGCCTGCTTGGGTCTGAGTCTCTGCTGCTGTACATCATTGTTGCTGCCTTAGCTTCAACAGTCGGTTTGCTTCAGCTGACGGTCTGGCCCCATGTCTGGCTTGGAGCCCCCAGAGCACAGAGGGGGGAGGATCTCACTGGGTGCTTTTTGGATTTTGTCTAAAGAAAACAAGGCTAAACTTTTGCTCTCTCCCTCCTTCCCCTCTCCCCTGTGGGAGCTTTTCTGTGAGTCAGCTGCTAGATCATAAATCTCCCACCCACACAGACAGCTGCACCCCATCCCTTGCCAGACATTGCTAAGGGTTTAACCCTTCCCTGGGCACAGAGGGAGGACTCTGGGGGATCCCATCTTGCCTTCAGCAATCTTGGTCCTATCCCCACATCAGTGCTGTACTCGGAGGGGATGCACTGGGCTCTCAGGCTACCAAACTGGACAGCATGGGAAATCCATGCTGGGTGCTTCCTCCCTCATCACATGGCTGGAGTTAACAGAGCTGGAGCTGGCTTGCTGCTGCCTGGTTGGGTATGTGGCACGCAGCTCAGCCCCAGAGCTAATGATTTCAAGTCATGTCCCAGGCGGTGCCTGCTACTGCTTTCAGCCATTGCGTGGGCTTTCGGAGCTGGTCCAGAGGGAAGGATTTTTCCTTTCCTTATGCGTGGGGTGGAGTCCTTCTCTTGAATCACTTAAAAGCCCTTGTGGTGCATGTCTGCCGCCTGCCTATTAACCGAGGTGTGGCTCACTATCCTGGGGCTGGTTGCAGCATTGTATAGCGATCCAGAGAGGATAAGCAGCTTGTCTGCCCACAGGGACCTGGCTGGCTCGGGGCTCTGGTGAGGAGCTGTGCAGTCTATGACTTGCCGGTTGCTGATCCTGAGTTTTGTCATTGTCCCCATGGGAGGGAGGGAAGTTACGTGTTACAGTCCTGACAGATGTATGTCCACATCTTTAACCTCCCCTCCCCTCCCCAGCGCTGGGACCTTCAGCAGAAAGATGACTGTGGCCCTCCTGGACCCCAGCTGGGAGGGAGTTGGGAGAACTGAGGTGGCCCCAGTTGCCCCTAGTTTGTAGCTAAATCAGTCTTGCTCCTCGCAGCAGCACTGACATTATTTTCAGAGGTGCGCATGCAGTGGCTGAGTGGTGTTCAAAGGCAGGTTGGTAGGCCCAGTAGGTCTCTTCCTTTGTGCCCCAGCAGCTATCCGGGCAGCAGACAGATCAAACACACCTCTTTCCCACTCGCATGGCAACTCCCCAGTAAGGAACAGCATTAATTCATTAAGATGCTTTGCAAAAAGAGCAGAAAGCAGGCACCAGAGAGGAAAGCAATGCAGGCCTTTGGAGGGGCTGAGCACTGACAGCTTTTGCCCCAATGAATAACACGGAGCAGCGTCTGCATACCGTCTCCTCAGGCAGCTGAGAGCGTTTCCTCCCATTTGCTGCCATGGCAGGGGTGGGCAAAATATGGCCCGTGGGCCGGATCTGGTCTGCGACAGGTCTTTATCTAGCCCATGGTGGGTCCTTGGTCCCCTGGCCCAGGCACAGTCCAGCTGTGGTGCATCCTGCCACGCCCTGGGCACGCAGCAGGGCTGGGGCGGCTCCACAGCTGGACTGTCCTAGGTAGCCCAGGTAGTGGTGGCTCCTTCCAGCTGCCGCCGCCACTGGCCCCAGCCCCACAGTATTGGCAGGGACCCATGCTGCACAGCCTTGACCCTGTGCCTGCTCTGGGCTTGCCCATCCAGGCTTAGCAGTGGTGGTTCAGGACAGAAGTTGTTGCTTGGTGCGGGGATGAAAAAGTGGCTGCTCTCCTGCCCACTGCCAGCAATTCCCTGCTGCAGCTGCCTGGATCCCATGCGGGGCTGCCCTGCATCTGCTCTGCACTGCCACCGCTGCCCTGCGGGGCAGCCCAGAGACAGCGGTGACAGTAGCAGAGATGCAGGGCAGCCCTGCACAGACTTTGGGAGGCTGCAGCAGGGAAATGCCGGCAGGAAAGAGCCTAGAAAAGCAGTCCATCTGTGGAGCCACCCTGGCCCCGCTCTGTGCCCAGGGGTGGCAGGACATACCACAGCTGGGTGGCGTGGAGGGGCCAGGTCAGTGCTGTGTGCAGGTTCCAGCTTATCCACTTTGGGGGGCTTGAGTCTGGAGTGGGCGCGGGATGTGCTGGGGCTATGCACTGCTGGCACTGGTGGGGAGGTGTCTCAGGGCATGCGCGCTGTCGCAGGGTAGGTGCTGACTGGCTCAGGGGGGCATGCACGGGGGTTCCCATGAACATATGCACACCCACAAATCCTCCCCTGTAAACCCCACAATGACACCCTCCCCCACACACAATCACACACCCCACAAACACTGTACCCACCCACCCTTCCCCACATGCACCCCACCGCACACACACCCACCCACCCTACCCCACTACACACACGCACACACACCCCTCCCCAGCCACCCTCCCCCTCCACACACCCCACAAACCCCATACCCACCCACATGCACACCTACACATCCCCCCATACCCACCCACATGCACACCCACACATACCCCCACATACACACACATGCACAGCGCCCCACAAGCCCCATACGCACCCCTCTATACTCCCCGCTCCTCCACACCCCCCTACAATATAAAAAAATACTTCATTTTGAGCTATTATGCAATCACCTCTATATATGCTACACAAATCAGGACAAAAATTTTTTTTTTAAATAAAATTAAAATATGTTATTGTCAATGTTTGATTTTTAGTATCATTTGGGGGGTTTTCCAGTTCCAAGATGGCAAACCCCCTTCCCAAAACGATTAGTTCTGGGGCAAGGGGAGGGACTTCTAGTGGCAAAGGTCAGGGGTTAGGGGGTGGGACTTCTCATCCTAAAATGATGACCAAGGGGCGGGGCACCCGTCAAGGGGTGGGGCTACCCTTGTGGCCCTGGACAGCTTGTCAAAACTCATTAAGCGGCCCTCCAGCCAAAATAATTGCCCGCCCCTGTGCCATGGGTATGGGGTGGGGAGGGCTGCAGTCCCTGCAGCAGGGATTCAGATACTGCAGATGCTGCATGATTTGTCCCCCACAGGCCAGTGTCTATATTTCCCTTCCACGACTGACTTTAAGGAAATCTGATGTGATGGAGTTGAGCAGCCTCGCTACCAAATATCCTATGTGAGCCTTGCAGTTATGCAGCAGGGCTTATGCAGCACAACAGGCGCTATGAGATGATGGAGCTTTGCCTGGGGTGCCTTGTTGCAAGGAAGAGGGCCTCGCAGCAAAGCTGTGGTGCTGGTGACGTCCTCCTGCTAAGCACTCGAGCGATAATCTGTTGGCCCCGAAGTTTGGCGAGCATGAAAAGTTTGCTAGAAAGAAGACTCTGCTTTGCTGCATATACCTCTTGTTTGGCTGTAGCTAACATAGTCAATGGACCCACCCAGTCCGGGTCAGTCTGGAATAAACTGTACTGGTGCCCTCTGCTGCTCACTTCATAAACTACATGTTCCCACTTCAGTGAGGTTCACCCATTTCTCTCTCCGACGTTGTTAGTCTACAGAGGGCAACTCTACCTCGCCTTCTGCCTCCCCTCTTGTTTGCAAAGCAATCAGGGGCATGGATGGTGCTTTACTGATGACAGCAGCCTACTCCTCAAAGATGCTGTGCTCTTGGTAGACAAAGGGCAGAGAAATGAAGTGTTGGAGGGTGCAGCACAAAACGTTGCTATTATTATTTAGCTGGCAGTATTTAATGTCACATACATTCGGTATTGGGACTCAGGAGAGATTTATGTCCTGCCACTTGCTCTTTTCCTGCATAGGCTCAAGTTCATTACTAGGGTCCTCTCGGTGGGGACTCTGGGAAGGGAAGGGAGCAAGGGTTCTGTCCTTTAATTCTTCTATAAGCCACAGCATGAGCATGGATTTTGTTACCATGATCTACAGCAGATGGGACATGGAGGTGACAAATTCCAGTGTCTTGCTACAACAACAATATAGCCTTTTGCCTTTGTGCCCTAGAGCTGAAGGCATTTTGCAAATGAATTTCAGAATCATGACCTCTGTTTTACAGATGGGGAAACTGAGGCACGGAGAGGGAAAAGAATGGACCTATCTGATGTAGCTTGAACCAGCAGCAGATTTGTGAACAGAACTCACAGCCTTGACTTGAGGTGCCTAAGAGGGGTAGGTAGGTAGGGTCTCTGTGAAATATATCCCTAGAGGTAGGCACCAAAGTTGCGCCTACATCCTGCTTCAAGCATCTCCCCTTGCTGTTATTCTGCCTGTGTCCCTTGGAAGAGCTGGATCTGGAAGATGTTTTCAGATGTTTTCATGCCAATAGAGTCAAGCTTCCCAAAAAACAAAGTGGCATCTGCCACTTCCTTTTGAGACAGGGCTGGCAGAGGCAGCATTGTAAGCAGGGCACTCACCCAAGTTGTGGGAGACGCATGTTTTCCTTCTCACCCTGTAGAGATTCAAACCCATGTCACTATGCAGAAAAAAGCAGATTTGGGGGGTCAGAAAGAGACAATTAAAGCCTGACTGTAGCCTAGTGACTGGAGCACCCTGTGCACTTGCAAGGTGCCCTTTCTGTTGAAGCGCTGCTGTGAGTGGGGTCTGTTCAGACTTGCTGTGAGCCAGCAGCACATGTGCAAAAGGGAAACTGAGCCACACACGCAGGCAGATATGCAGACCAAGGATTTTCTGTGTAGCACTCGCCAATGTGCTTTTCATATCTTTCAAAATAAGAGAGGTATGTAATCAAGAGTTAGGGTGAGGGGGGACTGTCCTAGCGGGACACAGTGCATCCAACAGGCCATATGTTGTTTGCCTATGGTGTACAGCACTCGTTGGGGATGGAAGAGGGGTGATGTTGAATCCCTGCAGGCAGAGGAAGGCTGTGAGCCAGGTCTTCCTCCTGGTGAGTTCAGTAACTGCTGGGATAATATAGAATATAAGTACCACTAATGCCCCTTGTATTGCTCTGTTTTAAGACACATGTAAGTCCTACTGAGTTCTTTGGAAGAAAAGGCAGAGGTGCCTTACCCTCAGGACTGGGCTCCAGGCTGTAGATCCCAAGTGGATGGAGGACTTTTCCTGCAGCCTGCTGCAAGGTACCTGAGAGGCAGGATATAGGACTCACTCCTGTTCTCAGAAATAACTCTTAGCAGCTCCCTGCTTCGCTTGCAGGGTGTTTGGATCTCAGGCTGAGGGGGCAGCTCTTGTCATGCACCAGATGGGGAACCGGGTGTTCAGTCAGGGTCCTGCATCCCAACCTGGTGCCAGGTACCTAAGCATTAGGCTGATGATACTCAGGCATACCTGGCTCAGGGTTAATCAATGATTCATAATAATATATATAGGTAGCAAACTCGATCCCCTTCAAAAGAAAAGACTATAGATTATAGACGTATGTGTTGATCTCTTCCTGGCTGCAGGAAAGACAGCCCCAGTGCAGGCAATAAAAAATCCTAAACCTTTTCTTTGGAGATCAATTAGTTTAAGAGCCAATTCTTGCTCAGGAGCTGTGGTCAGAGCACTCCTGGGTTAGATACTGCAGTACCTAAGCACTTTACTGAATCTGGTCCTAAGTATTCTCCTGGGCTTACTGTAACTCCAACATCTCCAGATCCCATCCCTGAATCTAGCCACACAGGTATAAATCCACTGCTCACCAGGGCAGTGTGGCTAGGATGTAAGTAGGAGTGGCAGAAGAGTATGGTCTTCAGCTTGTGGGAGGCTGTATCTCTTGATAGCAGAGTCTTAACTGCACGGATCAACCCCACAATAAAATTACAATTAAATCTTGGCTCCAGCATCTTGGGTAGTGGATGAGGGGAGTTCTTCACTGAAGTCAGCAGATTCTGAAACCCTTGCAGTGCGCTTCCCCTTTGGTCAGTAATCCAAGAGCTGAAATCACCCTAACTGTGTGGGTAGGGGAGCCTTGTATCTGAAATGCATATCAGAAGAAGAAATGGCAGCTCTTCCCTGAAGAATTAGAGGACAGCAGCTGAGTAAAAGCCAATGATGAGGGTCCCTTTGCCCAGCCCCCATGGAGCTGGAGCCACTAGGCTGGGTGCAGGTACATTTGAAGTGGACAAGTGCAGACATGGCATGGTGGCTGAAGCTAATGGCAGAGAGGCAGTGTGGAACACAAAGTGTCCTAGAGCCAAGCAGCACTTTCCAGGAAGGATAGAGCTGGGGTTATTGCTAACCACTGACAGCAAACTACAGGTTGGGGGAAAGTGCTAGAGGAGAAAGGGGAGGAAAGGTGAAGTCAAAGGAACATATGTCTACTGGACAGTCATAGCAGCATGCAGGGAAATTGAGGCAAAGGTGCATGAGCTAGGTAATGGTAGGGTGGGTGTTGACTTACTATTTGCTTCCTGTTAGTCTTTTTGTGTTTCCCCTTAAGGAATATTCTCTTCATATCCAGTCTCAGTGCTTTTGAGGGGGAAAGTTTTGTCTATTAATGGTGCCCAGAAGAGGTTTGTGGGTGAGAGTCAAGGCTGTTTCATGTTATAATTTCATGAAGAACACCTGGATTTTGAACCTTGTTGAATACCTTGTTTTTGCTGGTAGCAGCTGGAACAAGGGGCTACAGATTGTCTGTATTTAGTCCTTGCAGCTGTCAAAATGCCTGAGGCTGAATCGATTCAGTTATTGCAGGTTAGTCTAAGCTGCAGATATTAAACTGAGAAACAACTGGGCAGACATTCATGTTTGATTCAGAAAATTCAGCCACATACATGTAGTGGCTCAGGCCAGAGGCCAGGGGGTGCTAGAACAGGGCTTTCTGACATATAGCCAGCCTGGGCTGTGTGTTCGCTTCCTCTTCCTGCTGCCCCCAAGGTCTCTGGGATTTGCAGTCCAGAGTTACAGCAGCAGGACTCTGCAAGTTTGCTCACCACTTCCTCTTCCTGCTTCCAGGATTTGTAGTCCACAGTCATTGCCAGCGTTAAGTTTTTAGCAGGGCAGCTCCATACTCAGGGGAGTTTAACCCACCTCCCTGGCCCCAGCCTCCAGCTGGGGTTTGCCTGGGGACATAATCCCTGCCTCTTCCTCCCCCTACTCCTTCTCTGCTGGAGGAGACAGCACAGCCCAGCAGAGCATGCTGGGATGCTGGGGGACTGTGATTTAACTTGAACCAGGAATGGGTCTGGGACAGAAGTTTTATAAACCGGTTTGACCCAAATCAGTTAAGTCTGATGCTACATTCAACCAGGTTTGTCTTAAACCAGTTTCAGCCATTTTGAAACCAGTTTATGTGCACTGAAGAGTTCTGTTCTGTTACAGGTTTAAACCAGTTTCTGAGCACTTAAACCAGTTTATGTGTAACTGCTGTCCCTCGCCAAGCTGTTCTGAGCCTGGACCCAGAAAACCCTGGTGCTTTGGGCTTTGTGAATGTGGAGGTTTGGTCCGGGCCTGGTTTTAGCTCCCGGGTTCAGCTGGGATAGTCTCCTAAAAGTTTGGTCCACATTACTCATTTCCTGTTCCCACTCCCAGTCTCTCTCTATCTCTTTGCCCAATACATTTTGTCCTGCTGATGTGAAGAGGATGATTTCCTGGTCTCGACCACCTGTACCCCATGCCCCTCCACAAAAGGGCTGAGAGTGAGGATGCAGCCCCAGCCCCTTCTCCAAGACAGCGAGGGGGGCTGGGGCAGCTGGCACGGGTGTCTAATCTGCCTTGACATGTTGGAGCTGGCTATGTGAGCAGAAGCAGCTTGAGGAAGGGTCCTGGGGGAGGGCAGGAGCATATTTGAGGCGTGATCTCGGAGAGGTTCCCTTTACAGACAACAAAAGCTCAGCTGTTGTTTCTAAGTTTGTCCCAGGCCTGTTGGGAAGTGAGCTACCTTTTTAAAGGTCAGATGGGACAAAGAAATGAGCCCTTTGTTTGGGGGCTGGGGCAGGATGGAAATGGATAAGGAAGCTGGTTCACAACCCTCTGCCACAGATCTGCTCCATGGAGCAAAAAAAAAATTGTGGTGGGGCTGTCTAAGCAGCCTAGGGGAGTCAGGCACCCACTACATGTCAGTGGGAACTGGATGCGTGTCTGATTTAGGAACTTGGTAATATCCAAAATAAGCCTGTGCCATCTCTGTCCTGGGTATAAAGAGGTGTGCTGGCATATATGCCCTGTTGGGCAGGTTTTCAAAGACCAACCCAGGCACAGGCAGATGTCTGGGTGGTATTAGGCACCAGAGCTTTCTGGTCTGCTAGTGGTGATGGGAGTGCTGGCACCCAGTGGCCACTGGCTCTTCAGAACAGGTCATTTAAAATGCTGGGGCCTACCTACACGGTTGGCAGCCCGTTGCGGTTCCCAGAAGCACCGGGGGAGCAACAGCACAGCTCAGGTAGTCATGAGAGATTCTCCATGCGGAGAGCCTGGCCAGGGGAAGGAGCTCAGCGTTGGCTGCCCACTGCTACCGAGCAATGCCACAGTCGTAGCTGGCCCCAGCTCGAGTCCCTCTGACCACATGGCCCCACGTTAGGGCACAGGCACGTTCCTTTTATGCTCCCTGCCTAGACACCGCAGTCTCTGCCCTGGAAGATCTCAAGCAAGAAAACAGCTTGTTTGCCTTCTCCTCAGCCCTCCTGACCTGGGAAGGGGCTACCAGGAACACCAGGCAGGTGATAACACAGGAGTCCGTATGCAAGTAAAGCAGGGATGTTGGATGGCACTTTGCGGTGCTGGTTTGCAACAGGATCAGTTGGGCCTTCAAGTTAGGGACTGGCTACTGGTCTTATGGTGGAGTGCATCGGAGGAAGGCAAAGGGACAGCATCCCGAGCAAAGGTCTGTAAGGCAAAGATATGACATGCATACTGGACTTGTGTAGTGGATACATCTCCCCGCCTTGTGTAGACCCAGAGTGTATGAGTCCACTCCTGGTAGCTTTGGTACTAGGGCTCTTGGCTTCATTTCCCATCTCTGCCACTGGCTCCATGTGAGGCAGTGGGCAAGTTGCTTCCTTCCCCAGTGCCTTAGTTTCCCCACCTGTAGCCTGGGGTCTACAGTGCTCGCTGCATTTGAAGCACGCTTTGAATTTCCATGGGTGCTATCATCACATCTCCTTGCTGTGTCCCCCCCATTTCTCCTCCCTTTTCAAGCTCAACAAAAGAGGAAATCTGAGAAGGGAACACATGATGCCTCTAAGTGCTTTGCTGGGCTGGGCCTGGCTGGGTCACTGCACTGGGAGATGGGCCCCAGGGTAGTGGGGGGAGGAGAGGGGGGTGCATCCTGCCTGTCACCAGCTAATTTTGGCTATCTTGTGTTCTGAAAACAATCCTTGGTGGTATGGGATGAGGGGACAGCTACTGACCGGCCAGCAGCTGAAGGCACACTTTTGCCTGGCCCTTTTTTGCTTTATAAAGGTTCAAGTGGGCCAGGTATAACACTCCTTGCTTGTGAGTCACATGCAAGGCCTGTGATGGGATCTGGGCACATTTGCTGCTCTGGCCTTAATGTCCTAGCAAGCAGCACTCCCTGATGGGCAGCGGTATGGCCCTTGCTGTTTGCAGCATTGCAACACAGTACATAAGAGCACCTTACCAAATGCTTTGAAAAGGGTGTACTCCCCAGGGCTGGATGCAGCAGGGATTCCCGGAAAGATTTTTTGCTGTTCCCACATGTGAGAGTGGGCCTGGAGCTCTGGCACAGAGCCTTGTTCAGGACAGCAGGGAATGGCGTGAGAAAGAGTATTTCTCAGGGTTGGGGCAGGGATTTGACCAGAGGGCACAATGGGGAGGTATGTGGTCACGCGAGGGGCTTCCCTGCTTGGGCAGCTCCTGGGAGCAAACTGCTTCATCCGGGGCTCTGGTTGAATCCCTGCCCCAGCCTGTGAGAGACACGGTCTAAACAAAATGGGGCACTTGGGACCTGAACTTCTGGGTCAGCTTGTGGAAAGTGAATTTCCTTTGCCAACCACCTGCCTGGGGATCTGGGACCCACCTCCACACCACATGGGGAAACCTGGGACCTTCTCCAAGTTCCACTCTTTATCTCTCTCAGGCTGGTGGCAACCCTAACTGTGAGGCTGCGGCTTGCCTTGCCCTTTGTGGAAGTGCCGGCACTCTCTCATCCTTGCTCCCCAGGGTGAGGCTCTGGGGAACAGGAAGATGCTGCAGACTATCACCCCTTGGAGTTTGTTCCACAGTCTGGCTCATGAGTTTTGTCCCCGGTCTTTGGGTTGGGATTGTCAGATGGGAACGAGGAATGAGGCCTCCTCGTTCCCTTGTGATTCCTTAGGCTTTTTGGCATATTCTGCAGGATCACTCAGTTTTTAGGCGGGTTTCAGAGAAGGACATTACTTCGTTGTAGCAGGATGGAGCCGCTGGGGATGGGTGGAGAAAATGACAAGAAAGTGGTGTGAAGTAGGAAAAAAGGATCCCCAGAAAGGAAAGTGAAGACGGGCCCCGTGGTGTCCAGCAGGGGCAGGGAGCCCTATGGAGGGGCTATCCAGGCCATGTCTACAGCTGGGAGCTAGCAGCATATCAGGATCACTTCTGTATCCAGCAGCAGGCATTGCCCCTGCCTAAGACTCAGTGGGATTAGAGCCCAACCCAAGATTAAATCTGCTCCTAGTTATATTGGTATAAATATACAGCAATCCCATTGACCCCAGGGGCACATGGCTCAGCTTTTGGGGCAGGGCTGACTCACACAGGCTGGCAACCGCCTCCCTCCTTTGACAGTCTAGCAATGGGGCTGATGGAGGGTGGGGCCCTGGAGCACTTGCTGTTGTGACGTGGCCCACTCCTGGGGCCAGCCCATGCGGTAGAGCCATGGGACAGGAGAGAGGAGCTGGTGGACTTTACCTTTTCCCAAGTCCCAAGCGAGACTGGCGTGCATCGACAGCTGCAGGGCCTAGACTATAGAGGAGCTTTCTGTGAACCATTGCTGCCAATTTAACATCAGCTCCTCTGATGGCATTAATCAGAGGCATGTAGACTTTTCCCAGTGTACAGGAGGGTGCAGATCTGACCCCTGGTCCTTGGGGATGACATAGTGCGGTCAGGGGGGCATGGGAGTTTTCTCTACCCTGGTAAGCCTCCAACCCTTGAGCTCAGAAGAGGGGAGGACGGCAGGCTCCCTCTGCTCTCAGCTGCTGTTTCCCCCCAACAATGGGCATAGCCTGCCTCGTGCCCACAGCCAAGTGTCCTGGAGTTACCATAATAGCCGCGGGGATTAAAATTCCAGGCATTGTCCTTGCTGGGCTGTGGTCTCCAAATTGTTTGCTCATAAGGTCTGCCCTAAAAATACACAGGCCAACAGGTGCAACCCTGGTCCCAATTCTCGCAGCACCCCCACCCCTCCAAGCCTTTGGGGTGGACAGCAAGGATGTTACTGAGGGCAGCACAGTCAGGCCCTGGCACTGCTTTTTGCTGCATAAGTTTGTGGTTAATTTGATCTAAAAAGCTGTTGGAGGCTGAGAGGCACTGGCTTCAGGTAAGGAGGCAGACAGTATTGCCATGTCTGCTTATAATAAGCAGAATTGGGCTTGTTTGGTTTTTTTAAAGTCCCTTTAATTTTTCGAGAGTCATGGGTTGATAAGCACCCCCACTTCCCTCTCTTTGAAATGGGTTGGGCTTGTTTTTAAAGGTAGTGCCACTTTTTTTTCTCGTGAGACTTGACAACACTGGAGGCAGAGCAGGCAAGTTGTGACTCAGCCACCACTATCCCACCTCCTGGCCCCTCACCCAGCTCTGCCTTTGTCCCTTGCTCCTGACCCAGACCCCTGCTCTCCCAGTCCTGGACGCCCATCCAGCCAGTGCCCCGTAGTCCTGCCCTGCAGCCCCTACTCTTCCAGTTCAGGTGCCTCACGTTGCTCTGCTGACAGACCTGTGCTCTGACCTGTGTCCACACCCCTGCTGTTCCTCTCGTGGGATCTCTGCAGAGCTCTGGCCAGGCACCTCAATCTTGACCACTGTAAAACACCACTCATCCCTGCCTGCTGGTCCTCCCTCACCTGCCTCAGCTCTGCCAGTGCGCTTCAACCCCCTGCAAGTGCCTCTGCTATGGAGAGATTGCTCTGCATTTCCTGTGCCCATCGATGCTGCTTGCAGTGAGGTATGTTCGGGTGGAAGAGCCATTCTTCTCTGAAATTAGGCTTCTCCTCTTGGCTTCTCCCTTTGGAGATTTTGCAACCACTTGGGCTAAGCAGGTGCATGGAGGCAAGGAGGCCTGAATTCCTTCTGAGCAGGGAAAGTAGGATTCAGAGTCTGGGGCTCAGACAAATCCCTGTTCAATTTGTCTGTCGGTAGGGTGGCCATCATAGAGGACATTTCGGTTTTCTCCTACTCTGTCCGCTATTGATATGAAACCCTATGCCTTTATGTCCTCTATTCTTCTCTTCAGGAGAAAAATAGAGGACATAAAGGCATTGAGTTTCATATCACTAGAGGACAACTGGACTGTCCTCTATGATGGCCACCCTATCTGTTGGTCTAAGTCATTCATCATGGCTGTTAAGCTCTGTCTGTCTAAATACAAAGACAAATGCATCAGCATGCATACCCACTGATGTGCCATGTGTGTATAAGTATGTAGTAGATGTGTATGAGTGTATACAGGGTCAACACATGTAGCATAGTTCTCTATAGAAATGTGTAATGTGTATTCATGTTAGTGTGTGCTTGTGTATCATGTACCTGTTGGGGAGGGGAGGCTGTAGTATGTGCATCTGTATTGTGTGTATGTCTATGTGAACATACAGTGTGCATATGGTATGAGTTTAAATTGTGTGTCTATGAGTATCCAATGGATGGGCATGTGTGCTGTGTGTATGTGCCATGTGTACTTGTGTAAATATGTATATGCGCACATGCTTTGTGCCTTTGTCAATGGCTGTGCTTACGTATGTCAGCATAGCTACAATGATGTGTTTATACACTTGGGCCTTGGACCCATCTCACTTCCAGTTGCTTTTAAGATGGCCTGTCCTTCAGGGGGTACTCCAGCAATTCCCACTGGGTCCCTGTAAGAAAAGATGCTATTGGTCATTTTAAAACTGAATGGCTGTTCAAACTGTGTGTGTGTGTGTGTGTGTGTGTGTGTGTGTGTGTGTGTGTGTGTGAGAGAGAGAGAGAGAAGTTGTGCACTGATGCTATTCCATGGATGTATTAGCACAATGGCAAATCTGTCTCGGTGTATCCATTTGTAAAGTACTTGCGTTGGAAGAAAGTGTGTGTATATGCATGCATGCACACACATGTACATGTTGTCTTTGTATGAGGCTTGGTGACTAACTATATATATAATGTGTGCACTGCATGGAGATAGCATATCTGTTTAGTGTGCCTGTATACATGCAGCATCTGTATCACATGCATGTGTGCAGGGTGTGTGTAGCATGCATAAGTGGCATGCAAAATATGTGTGCAGTGTGACTTTGTGGTATGGTCATGCCCCACATGTGTCAGCTGCATCTGCCGTGTGCGTAGCATGCACGGTTATATACAGCGAGGGGGGTGTTTAAAAGGGGTATATGTGCCTGTTCTATTTTTACTGACCACTTGCAGTCAGGCTTGGAATTAATACTGTCCTCCCTTCCCATCCCCTCACAGTCTGCAGCCCTCCAGCCTCCAGCCACCACCTCCCCCCTGCCTGGACTGCACTAGGTAAGACACTGCCATGTTCCCCAGGCCCAGGAAGAAGTTTTATGGGGGGGTTTTTTGTTTGTTTGGGGTTTTTTTTGCTGTTTGCTGATTTATCAGTAGGATCTGATTCTACTAACTTTAGGCAAACTAGTTCTGTGGGTGCCTGTCAGCATGGGAGTTGGAGTGCTGTTATCTAAGAAGTAGTAGGGTATCTAGACATCAGGATGGCAGGTAACATGGGAATACCTGACTCTGCCTGCCTGTCTGGGGAAGCTGGTAGTGAGATGCTTCATGGGGACCGTGTCTTCTATAAAATGCATTTGGTAGCTGTTGGTTTTTGCTTCAACAACATTTATCTGGCTCTCAGGAAAGCAGCATGTGCCTCTCTTGTCACAGCCAGTCCCTGCTGCTTTAGCTCATAGAAGCCCTGGAGGTCTAGCAGCAGCATTTTCCAAAGGCCCTGGGGAACTTTGGAGCCTAAATCTCCTTCACTTTCAACGAGGTTTCTGAGCACTGGCAAATGGGACTTCAGCTTCTGGCTTGGAGAGTGTTGACCCCGGTGTCCAGCTGGAGCCTGACTTGGCTGCGAGGGCTGATATACTAATGCACCTTGTGGTTTAACCAAATGCACCTTCAGCTTCTGCTTCATCTGCCAGTGAGAGGATGCAGCTGCTTCCCAGTACACACTCTGGAGCTGATCCAGTGTCCCTCATGATCCAAGGGAGGGGCTGATATAGTGGGGTGAGCAGTGCGGGGTTTGGGGACTTACTGCTTAAGCCATCTGTCTCTTCCCACTTGACATATCTGCCCTGCTTTGGCCACAAAGCCTTTCAGGTTGGTATCTGAGGAGGCATCTGCCTGTCCAGCCGGTGGATCTCATGTGAGATCCTGCCCCAGGGACTAGCTGACTGCCGTATCCTTTAAAAGCCTGTAGTGCTCAGAGTGGGAATTGCTTCATGATGCACCTTTGAGAGTCCAATTATACTTGTGTGTTATTCAAGTGTGTAATACCTTTGTGTCGTGCTGTGAATAGGTCCGGTTTGCATTATGTGGGCATGTTGTGCGTGTGGGCACGTGTGTTCATACATGAGTGCTTTGTGTGTGGTTTGCATTATGAGTGTATGTCTGCAGTGCGTGTGTGTGTGTGTGTGTGTGTATGTAGCGGTGTGTTTGTGCGTGCTTAGGGGCTTCTAGCTAGCTGAGGTTAAGGAGTTTGCTGTTTGCAGGTGAGGCTGGCTTCTACAATAGAAACCGAATCTGAGGAGCTGGTGCTTTAGTGAGTGCATACCATCTCTAAGGACAGCTGGGGAATCTGTCCCAGGGGCACATAAATCCAGTCCGCAATTCAGCTGTCACAGGTCCAGTAGTCCCCATCCAGACAGGGGAAGGGCTCCCTAAAAATGGTAATTTTCTGGCCTCATCAGGAGCTCAATCCAACCTGAGACCAGCTGTTGGGTCAGCACAGGGAACTCACAATCTCCTGGCTCTGGCAGGTGCTTTTTGCAAGACTGGATTCCTGGCTGCCAAAGGGAAGGCAGTTTAGATAAATCTGTCCCTAAAAGTTGATTGACACTGACAGGGGCTGACCCACCCTGGGCAAAGTGGAGACCAGTACCTTCTAAGGGCTCATACTTTCGCCTGGACCACCCGGGAAGTCTATAGGACTTGTCTTCGGTGCAAATCGGGAGTAACCCTCTGGGCTCAATTCTCCTTTCACGCCATAAACGTATCAGACTTCCAAAATGGAAAAGGTTTGGTTTGAAAGTGTCAGTGCTCAGCAAGATTTGTATTTTGATGCTCCTGATCGGAAAATATAAAATGTGTTGAGATCAGTATTTTTGTGCAAAAACATGTTTTATTGAAGTCACCTTCTCTGAACAGATCCCTTCTTTTTTGAAAATGTGATCAGCTGTAGCCCTGGGACTTAAGTGAGAGCTGACTGGATGCACAGGCCAGTGTGGCTGTGCCCAGGGGCAATGTCTCCCTTCACGACTGTTCTAGCAAGTGAGGTAGGAATTAGTAGAAAGAGCTAATTGTTAGGCCACTGCTAAGCAAGAGTTGTGGGGAGGGACTTTCAGATTTAGATTCAGGAATATAAAAGCCTGCCTGCCTGCCTAGGGTTAGCAATAGGGCTCTACTGTCAGGGAGCACCTCCTCTCTAATTCAAAGCTCTTGCTACAAGGCTTACATTGCATGCAGTTCTTCTATGCTGAACCAGAGTTGAGATAAAGCCCAAGAGATCTCTTCAGGCTACAGGGTGGCTGTGCTGAGCTTGGGAGATGAATTAAGAGGTTGTGAAGTCTCCATCCTTGGAGGTTTTTAAGACTAGGCTAGACAAAGCTTTGGCTGGGATGAGATAATTGGGGCTGGGCCTGCTTTGAGCAGGGGGTTAGACTAGATGACCTCCTGATGTCCCTTCAGTCTCTAATTTTCTATGATTGTATGATTCTATATTTCCCCTGGGATCCTGATTCAAAGGGTCCCAGCAGGAAGCTGAAACAAAGCCACGTAATTTAGGTGCGCAACTGAAAGAGCTCGGAAGCAGAATTGGGAATTTTGAACAGTTTCATTCAAGCCCCCAGCTCTACACGGACCCACAGAAGTAATTTGGAATGAAGTATAAATTGGGAGAGGTGGCGGGGTGAAAAGGTGGCAGCACAGTTTGGAGGCAGCCTGCAACCAGACAAAAGGCAGAAGGCTTAATACATGATGCAGTAGAAATTGTTCACCCTGTCTCATCAATCCTGTCCCTTTATAGCCACCCCTCCCTACTTTTATCTAAGAGATACAGCCCAGCTGATGCACCACACAGTAATTGGCTTTTTAGTGCCAGCAGCTGCTCATCTGGCTAATAATAAAAGTGCAATTGCTCTCAGAGACAGGCAGGAGCAAGGCAGAGCTGCCTTCTTTTATCAGGTGTGCTGGCTGGCTTTCCTGCCCAGCTTTGCTTCTGGTTAGCTTTTCTATCTCCTTTACACTCAGACATCTCCATGTGAGTAGGGCTTGGCAACCTGGAGAGTAGTGTGAGCAGGGGTTTCAGGTGCTTGGACTAAGCCAAGAAAAGCCCCTGAGCACAAGGTGGTCTTGCTCCCCTGACCAGCTGCAAGGGGGCGGGGAGGGGTGGAAACTTATAGCCTCCCAGAGCTCATCGGAAAATGTGAGCTTATCTGAGCTGTATGGTTTGCCCTTTGTTTAGCAGGCTGTCAGCATAGCTGGGCACAGAGCCACTCCACTCCTGAGCAGGACACAGTGTCTAGGGGAGCAGCACGCACCATCCCCAGCAAAACCATACAAAGTCACGATGTGTCTGTTGTCTGCCAGGTTAGAGGCAGACCCAGCTGTGGTCCCCAGGCAGGTGGCTCCTGGAGGAAAGGACAGAAGAGCGCAGTTCTACTGGAGACACTCTAGATTTCTATTCAGCTTGTCCTAAGTTTGCTGTCTGTGCACACCCACTTGTGGCCTAGTGAGATGCAAACAGTGAGATTTGTCCTGTTGTGGGACCTGGGTTGCAGTTTATCAGAAAGCAGCAGCATTCAAGCACAGATCCTGGGGGTCATCTAGGCTAGGGACAAATATTACACACAAACTGGTATAAGTGATCAGAAACCTGTTCAAATCGCAACAGAAGTTCAGTGCGCATAAACTTTCAAAATGACTGAAACTGGTTTAAGATAAACCCGGATGGATGTAGTGTCAGACATGAATAAAGTGTACCCCCGGAAGCTGGGGGGGCATGGCAAACTCCCACAGGTGGCGGCAGGAGCATGGCAGTGGTGAGCAGGGAGCTCCTGCAGGCAGCCACGGCGCTCTCGGCAGCGTGGGGGTGAGCGGTGACCGCCTGCAGGCACCACCGGCAGTGTCAGCGGCGCCTTTTTGCAGAGGGTGCACTGCCAAGCTCAGGGGGTGCACGTACACCCATGTGCACACCCTACACATCGCCAGTGGTATCAGACTTAACTGATTCAGATTAAATTAGTTTATTGAACTTCTGTCCCAGGTTCCCTCCAGATTCAAGTTAACTCACAGTCCCCTAGCATCCCAGGATGCTTTGCACCTCTCCCACAAGCCCCGCTTTGCAGGGTGGGTGGGCTAGCCTTGACCCAAGCTGTCTGTTCCAGCCTAGAGGTGTGCTCTAGCGCCCCCCAGCTTCTGGCCTGAGCCAACGCAGGCATGTGGCTGCATTTCTGGAATCAAAAGCGAATGGCTGTTTACCATATTTTACAGTGTACAAGGTGCCATGGTGTATAACTTGACCCCATATTTCCTGTCAAGAAAGTTAGGATTTTCATAGATCCAGTGTATGAGTCAACCCCACCTCACCAGGGAGGGGGCCGGCAGGAAGGCGGCTGGGTGCACTGGCAGCATGGACAGTATGCGAGGTGCTGGAAGCCCAGGAGGGCTCATGGGAGAGTTGGACACCTCCGAGCTGGGGCAGCACTCAGCCTGCTGGCAGCCTGCCCAGCCAGACCCAGGGGGTGCTGCCACTGCAGAGGGAAGGACCAGCCCTCCCACACCCCACCTTCCAGCTCAGGCGCTGCCTGGCCCACCAGCAGCTCCCCCACCCGTGTCCTGTCCTGCCACCCCAGGCTCCATCCCTGGCTGGCGCAGCAGACAGAGTGGGACATGCTGCCCTCCAGGCCCAGGGCAGGAGTCAGGGCCATGCCTGCCCACAGGTCCACACTGGAGCCGGTGCCAGGGTTGCAGACCAAGCTCCGGGGGTGGCCCCTCACCCTGCCATGGCTCAGTCCAGCTGCAGCAGCACCCAGGAAACAGCACCCATTAGCCACGGCCCGCCTCATTGCCCACGCCCAGTCTGACCCGGCCTGACTGCTGGTTTCATCCTCGCTGAGGCAGCCCAACTAGCCCATGCATTAATCCACCTACACCCACTAGCAGGCCACCTGGCCGGGCCCGGGGGGCACTGCCACAGTAGAGGGAAGGACTCGGCCCCTCTGCAGCTCTGGGGCTCTCTAGCCCATGGGTAGCTCAACTGTCAGCCATGGGAGAGGCAGCCCAGACTCAATGGGCGCAGGGTTTGGGCACCCAGCCTGTCTCCAACATGTTGGGCAGGGGCGGGGGGAAGCAGGAGCCTAGCCTGGCCTCGGTCAGTACCTTAAACGTCAGCATGCTGCCTCTCCATGTGGCAGGGTGCCAGTGCAAGGTCTGGTTGAAGTACTGATACAGCGTAGAAGTTGAGGTGGAAATTTATGGGGTTCAAACCTCAGCGTATACCCCTTGAAATCTAGTAGTTGTTTACTGGTTTGATCTATGCATCTTAGACCAACCTGCAAAGATTGAGTCTATTGAGCCTCGGGCTTTTTGACTGTCTGTACTCCATGTCATGGGCTGGCAATGCTGCCCCGTCCCAACTTGCACCTCTCCCTGCTGGTGTCCCCGCAACAGCTCTGTCCATGCCTCTCAGGCCAGACCTACTCCACCCACTGCTGGCGCGCTGTGACTCTACATACTAGTCTCAGCTCTTCCAGTCTTAACCCCAAACTCCGTCAATGAACCTCAGTCCTGAGCTGCAGCCCCTTTCCACCACAGTCCTGGTCCTCTTTATAATCACAGGCTGTTGATTGTGACATCTCATTTTGATGGGGGGGGGGGGGGGGGGGGGTCCGCTCTGTGGCGTCGGTGCGGCGGGGGGGGGGGGGGGTTCTGCCTTAGGCCTTGCTTCCTTGCAGTTGATTATTTTGTTTTTGCGTGATCCTAGGTGCAGAGTTTGACATCACAATGCCAGAACCGTAAGTAGCAAATGTTCCCCTTTGGCTTTGGGCACCAGCATGAGACTCTACGTTGGCCAACCGCAGGGATTGAAGTGAAGACCTAAGCGCAGAGCAGGTCACTATGATTGGAAGTGGACCCAGGAGCCCACTCCTACAGTGGATGCACACAGTTCTCCTGCGAATAATCCGCTAGAGGGCAGCATAGTCCTACCTTGTGCTACATCCTTCGCAGCAGGAGGACTCCGCAAGTTTGCCTTTGATTTTTGTGACAATGGTCCAATATTTTAGAGAAACTTCTGAAATGTTGCATGTCTTTGGTCAAGTAGGTCAGTTTGGTGACACTGAAATTTCACGCAAGTCCAAATTGTCCGATTCTTATAAAAAAAAAAAATTAGGGGGAGAGTGAGTATAACCACTTGGAATATATATATATTTTAATGGGAACAATCCTTCATTGGAAAGTGTCATGTTGAAGGGGCTGAAATGTGTCATGAGATCGACAGGCTGAGATCAGAGGAACAACCCTGCCGCACACTGGCTGCAGATCTGGCCCACAGAAATATTTCTGGTCTGTGGCACATTTTGCATGGCATGGCAAGGAAACCATCTGTACCCGTATCAGAACTTGAAAGGATTTCTTCCTTCAGACATGTCTGATGCCTGTCTATTGATGCTATATTCTGTTTTTCCTCCTCTCTGTTTCTTCTCCCGGACTGAACAAACAACTGCAGGGAGGTAAGAGAGACTCCTGAATGTTTTCTTGTTTTAAAATCTGGACACTAGCAGGTATTTTTTATAATGCATTTGCATTAAAAATGCCTTGTTTCCTCCTTTCCCTTTAGAGAAAATCCAAGATCACAGCCTCGCGCAAACTCTTGCTGAAGGTGAGTCCCAAGGAGTAGAAACTCCCATTGGGTTTGTCTTGACTGAAAGAGTAAGTCAGGGCTGAAAATGATCACGGCCGAAACATGTTGCAAATGTTCCCTGCCGGGGAACCCCTTTGGGCTGACAAACAGGGTGGTACTCGGAGAAGCTTACGACAGAGGCCGCCTCAAAATCCATCCTCGCAATTCCTAGTACCTGTGACAGACAAGCTTCTTTGGGTGACTCTGATATCTTTTATTAGACCAACTTAAATAGTTGCAAAAAAATTTTTAAGTAAGCTTTTGGGTTTAAAAACCCTAACCCTAACCCTACACCCTAGTACCTGTGATGAATCTGTAGCCACTTCAGGCTTCCCCTGTGTTACCACCTAGGATTGAACCAACAGAAAAAGCACATGTTGGAGACGCCTGTGCAAAAGACATTGCAGCAAAGGCTGAAAGGGACCATCCTGGACCACCTTTAGCATAGACAAAAGCCTGTCTCCGTTTGCATAAATATCCTCTTATCCTTTATGTAGGGTAGACACTAGGAAGAGCTACAGCATGCTTATCCAGAGTGCATCATAAGCAGGCAAAGATATCAAGTATGCATCTATCCTAAGCAAAGTGCATGGGATTTGTGAAGCAGGGACTGCCCGCTCTGTCTCTGGTTATTTTTTTTATTATTATTGTTACTTGAATAGTGCCAAGAGTGCATCAGGTACTTGGCAGACAGGCCATGGGTCTAGGGAAACCTTTCAGTCTGAAGGGGAAAATGAATGAATGAAGAGAGACTGCCCATGCTAATGCAAAGCCGGAGCAGATCCCCTGAAAGCAGGGACATCTCTTCATTTCCTCTCCCCCCTCTGAGCAGCACAGCCCTATGCTGGGGGTTATGGCACGTGATGGGGGAAATAGTTTTTGTGGGAGCATGGCATGGCAGCCCCTCTCTGGATTGGGGAAGATACTCCCTGAATGGCCTTCCTATTTGTTGGGGCCCAATACCATAGACACGCTGTGAGTTAGGCAGGCTTTCCTTCTGGGGTGTCTGTCTTTGGGGTAAGGGCTCAGGGTATGAGCAGACATAGCATTTGGACTGTATAAAAATGGAGTGTTTCAGCCAGGGATAGGCATATCATTCCTGTCACTCCCTCTCTTCCCTCTCAGATGCTGGAGCGCTTCAAAATCACTATGGCTGCATAGTGACAAAGCAGAGCAGTGTGGGATAATGGAGGACCGAAGCGTCCTCTCTTGCACTCCTTAAAGAATCCACCTATAACAAGAAAAATGAAATGCTTCTAAATAGTACCTCATTCCAACAGGGTCACTTTTGGAGTGCTCCAGCTAGTTTTGAGCAGTTAAAAGGGCATGTGGGTCTGGCTCCTTGCCCTTTGAAGTGCTTCAGAGGCATTTGAAATGCTTCAGATGTGATGTCTGTCCACACCCTAAGAGGTGCATGGCAGAGCTGATGTATGTGCTTATGCTGCCCTTGTATGATCTAGAGTTTGATGCTGGCCAAAGCGAAGGAAGAATGGGATCAAGAGCAAGTGGACAAGCTGTCAGAGAAGGACAGGTACCTGGCCGAGCGGATCACACCCCTGAGTACCAGCGGGCTGTCCCTGAGCCAGCTCCAGGTATGCTCTGAGCTGGGATCGTCAAGCTTGTTTGGGAGTGAGGAGAAGCTGGCAGGGGGCACCGGAGATGGTGGGGGGGCCATTCTGTTCTTTATTATGCAGGCTGAAGCAGGAGTGAGGAAATCCTTCCAGTCACTTCTGGATGAATCCCCCGGAAAGTTGAATCATGCCAGTGTCCCTTCCTGCGGGGTAGAACATATAAAGGGGGTTTCTCACATAGTCCCTAGGAAGATGTTAGCAGCTGGCATTTTGGGATGACTGACTGATGCTGCATCAGCATCATATTGGAGGGCTCTAGAAACCTGCTGTGTGCTAAGGGGCTGGTTTTTTTAGTGAGATACATGGGATAACAAGGCAGAACTTCCCCAGCAAAGCTCAGAGGCAGGAACAGCATGTAGAGCTTTCACTCGGCGCTTTCCTTCTGTGCTCTAACCCTACAGGACCTGTGCAGGGAACTGCATGAAAAGATCGACATCGTGGATGAGGAGAGATACGACATCGAAGCAAAATGCCACCACAACACCAGAGAGGTAGGAGGAGAAGAGGAGGCCAAATGGCTTCTGGATTGGATACCTAGGCAATGACTTGTGATTTATTTCTCATATACATAGCAGCCGTTACTCATTTTGCTCTGTGTTATGTGCCAAGCCAGCCTGATTACTACCATTTAGATGACAAAAGCTTCCATTGGCTCCCAAACCATTCTTTTTGCTGTTCAGATACAGTAACAGGTAGTCCCTGCCCCCAGAGGGCCGGCTGTTTAAATAGGCAAGATGGATGCAGCAGAAGATGGGAAGGGTAGGCAGGAAGAAACTTGCCCTAGGTCACCCAATAAGCTAGAGACAGAAATAGGAATCACACTCATTTCTCTATGTCCTTGTCAAGTACCACATCCATGCCCAGGCATTCCCCACTGGTGGCACGTGCACTGGCAATACATGAGCATGGTGTCCCAGCAGTTCCTTTCTCAATGAGTTTCCCAAAGGTGGTACGTGAACTGGTAAACTTCAGCAGGTGCCTCCTGGTGCTCTTGGCCAGGAGAGTGCAGCTGGATACAGGGAAATGGATGGGCTGAAAGAGCCTTGCAAAGCAACAGACTTCAGCCAAGCTATCAGCTAGTTCTGCCCAGTCTCAGGTACCATGGGCCCATTTCAGAGCCACAGGACAACCCTAGCTCCTAAAAACTCTAGGTGTGGTCCATGGGGTTCAGGGATGACCAAGGTCTGGATTTTATATGGGGCACCACACAATATCCCAGATGCGCCCATGTTCATCAGTCAGGGGCTCCAGCAGTGACTCTTGAAGGGTGAGACAGAGCACTGGATCGGTGACTCGTAGCACAAGTGCAGCAGACGTGGCCAGGGACCCTTATCTATTAGCAACCGGATGCAGTGTCTGGAGCCAGGAACAGGTAGATGTCTTGGACTGAGAATTAATGCTTCATTTGAGATTGTCCTATCTGGAGAATCACCTCTGTTGTGTGCTCAGTCCGAGTGGGCTCTTGTGAAGATCCCGGAGCCCTAGAAGTTGAGGGTCTATGTACCATGGTTCTGGGAGCAGGCAGAGGTGCTTGCTTCATGTTGGTGTGAAGCAGAATCAGGGGCCTCTTTCTGGTATGGTTCAGCTTTGTGACGTGGCTCTTACTCCTTGATATTCCCTTCACCTTTAGATTAAAGACCTGAAACTGAAAGTGCTCGACCTCCGTGGCAAGTTCAAGCGCCCTCCGCTGCGGCGTGTCCGTGTGTCTGCTGATGCCATGTTGAGGGCTTTGCTTGGCTCCAAGCACAAAGTCTCCATGGACCTGAGAGCCAATCTGAAATCTGTCAAGAAGGAGGACACAGAGAAGGTGGGTGACCAAGAACAGTCCTCCTTTTTCCCAACTGCATCTCATCCAAATGGCCATGTGAATCAGAGATGGAGGAGATGGCTTAGAGCAGGCTCACCCCTATCCACAGGTTGCCTGAGGGAGCATGTGTCAGACATCCCTACTACCCCTGAGTACCATCCTCCCACTGTAGTATCAGTGCTCGATTCATCACTTTGTGAAATTGCTAGAGATTTTATCCAAAAAACAAGGGTGTGCCCGCGCACAGTGATATTAGTCTAGTGAGATCGGGATCACTATGAGATCATACAGTTTTAGTTGCTCAGAAATGATGCAGTTGAACCCAGCTAAATATGAGGAGGTTTTGTGACTATCCTTCCTAACTGGGTTGGAGAAAAGTTACAAAAACTGACAAATGAGATCCAAGTCTGTGTGAGTGATGAATAGTTAGTGGAAACTGTTTCCTTCCTCTCTCCCTGGAGTGTGGACCAGATCCTTATCTTGGGTAACTCACTGGCATAGTTCCCTTGAAAGCTATGATGATTTACACCAGTTGGGGATGTAGTTTTCTTCAACATGGAAATTCCATTTCATGGCCATCTTTGGTTTAGGTGTTTTTATTCAAGACACAGGTCTTGAAGTCCTGGGATTACAGGAGAATCTCAATTCTTCTTCTTCAATTCTGTTTCTTTTAAGAAGTAAGTTTCTAGCCCTCCTGATTGTGGGGAAGATGTGACTGCTAAAGGCTCCAACACAAGAAGGCAATTGCTCAGGCACTACACTTATTTTTATTTTTTTAAATCTCCTGATTTTTGAGACCATGTTGTTGTTTGGAGGCCTGATTCATGACTTCTGAACGCTTGGGGTTGGTGATGCTGACACATGGGCGCATTTTCAAAAAGGCCTTAATCATCCTCCAGTTGTGCATGAAGACATCACCTGCATGCACTATTATCACATGTGCAATGTGAAATCCTTCACTGTGCAAAGAGTCAAATTGGGCATAAGATAAGAGACAAGCTTAGGTTGATTCCCTATTGAAGGGCTGCAGCTGACCCTAAAGGCCCAGTTCTAATTCTGCTTACCTACAAGGTGGCATAAATGCAGAGTAACTTCACTTCACTTAATCAGAAGGAAAGGTTTCTGTGACTTTAGTGCCTTTAGAGGCCTGATGCAATTGATGTAATTCCACTGAACGCCCTGCAGTTACTCCTGTTTTGGATTGAAGTACATGATTCATAGATTCATAGATTCATAGATGTTAGGGTCGGAAGGGACCTCAATAGATCATCGAGCCCGACCCCCTGCATAGGCAGGAAGAGTGCTGGGTCTAGATGCCCCCAGCTAGATGCCTATCCAACCTCCTCTTGAAGACCCCCAGGGTAGGGGAGAGCACCACCTCCCTTGGGAGCCCGTTCCAGACCTTGGCCACTCGAACTGTGAAGAAGTTCTTCCTAATGTCCAGTCTAAATCTGCTCTCTGCTAGCTTGTGGCCGTTATTTCTTGTAACCCCCCGGGGGCGCCTTGGTGAATAAATACTCACCAATTCCCTTCTGTGCCCCCGTGATGAACTGATAGGCAGCCACAAGGTC